GAGTAATAGTTACAAAAACATACGAAAAACCGGTATTACGAAATGCACGCTCCATTCGGCATATCGCCTTAAGAATACGTTGGTAATCCCGTCGGGGCCGGCAGATTTTTTTATGTCCAGATCTAACAGTAACGAAAAAATGCCTTGCTCAGTGATAATCAGCTCAGGCATTACTGAGAGTTGGTTTACGCTTGTCATTCCGAAATTATACGAAGCATTATCAGCGTCAGAAAAAAACAGAATGGAAAAAAGTGTTGAATGAGTCTGCCATTTCTGCTGGCTCAGCAATGATTTGGTCATTGACGGAGAGGTAATCTATTTTATCTCTGGACGGTGCGAGATGGCGCCAAAACTTCAGCGGCGAGCTTTTCATGAATTGGGGCATTACTTCTGAAAAATACTTTAATTTTGAGTTACTAAGTTTATTCTTTAGTATGTGCGACAATTCTGATAAGACGTTATCATTAGCCAGCGTTTTCTTTCGCCTTGTAGCGGTCTTGCGTTTGAGTTGGATTATATCGCGTGTTACCCAAGGGTTGTGTTTTGCTACCCGCTTGGTTCTTTCAGGAACAAACTTTGTTATACAATGCTGAATTACTCTCTTAAATTGTCGCCATAGGGTTTCAACGTCACCTCTGTCCGAAAGTTTATCCAAGGAAATCTCTAAGTAATCGTCCGCTCTATTAAAATCATGTACAAGAACGCTTACGTTATGCTTTTTCTTAGCCCCAGCGAAATTGATGTTTAACAGCACGAGCTTATGGTCTGACAGACCCTCAGAAACATCGATCTCGCAGTTCGGCAACTTGCTAGAAACAAACACTAAGTCAAGTAACGAACGTGTCGATTCAGTTATTCTAGTCGGTTCATTGACCACCTAATCATAGTTAAATGCGATGTCCAGGAGTAATTCACAGCTTTTATTTTCCACAAAACCAGCCTCAAAGCGCTCCCAGTTTATCCCCGGTAAGTTAAAGTCCGCTGCAATTATTGTTTTTTGTCTGTCGGTAACGTTAGCGCTAATGTAGTCGTAAATTGATTCTAGATTTAAAATCGGAGAATCTGGGGGCCTGTAAACAGCACCAATTGTAAATAATGCCTCGTTGAACCCAACGAGCTTGAGTAAACTTAGAGCGGTAAACCAGCAGCCGAAAATGGCACCCCCCCGATTGCCGCCATCTTGCCTGTTTGCCACATTAGTGATCACGTGACTTAAAGATGGCTGCGCCCAGAGGTGGGTCAGATCAGATTGGCCAGATCACGGTCAGCAGATGGGCTCTCTGGGGATGTGTTCCAATCTTACTCAAATAGACCCGAGTTATTCCGGCGAATCAAGTCACGTGACAAGACAGGTTGACGCGGGTAGGTTTTTGAACGCAACGGGTACAAGACCTTTTCCCAAGAGTGAGATAGAGTAAATTTTGGAACACGGCGACACGGCCGCCTGAATGGGAGCCACTGTAGCCGAGCCGAGCGCGAGTGTGTGCGTGTGCGAGCTGGTCGGGGGCGGCTGGTGCGGCGACGGCGGCAACGGCGGTGCGAGTCGCATTGAACCGCGATGATCGTGCTGTGGGAGATTGGAAAATCTCCATGCGTGCTATGTTTGGCTAGGCAGACGATGAACAAATAGAGCCGGGTATGAACGTATGGCACAAGATCTAACCAGGTATAAGCACCGATCCGAATCGGTCGTAGTACATGTCAAACATCGCGTGGATATCTCGCATGAAAGTTTTGCATTCTCTCTGCACTCGACCTGCGGAATGTTCATTGCTCTTAAGGATAGGTACGCAGGGCATATGGAGTGTCTGCGATTGGAAGCCGAGAATGAATGCGTGAGAGGTTTTGGTGCTTTCGCGTGACTAAGGCTCGAGGATACGGTTGATCACGTCAGACGTTCCCGGCCGATTTTCTTTTACGTCCGACCCATATTAGGTTGCTATAGGTTGCCGTGCCCGTGGGGAACGGCACTGCTACCGTAAGTTCGCGCTGTGATTTGTAAGCATGGTCCTCGGAGTCCTGAGCCCTCGGCGCACACCAGGCGCCGTCTTCATATATAAGATCTCTACCGCGCATACGTCCGACGTACCTTTGAAAAAATCGGCCGAGTATGTCCAACGTATGTAAGGAATGCCTTCCGGGTACGTCCAAACTACCTTTAGACACAGCGTTAATTCTCTGCTTGCAAGGCGCCGGTAGTCGTCTGTAGGTGTCAACACGGCTGAGAATAGTTGATGGAAACCAATGTCGTTGGTCAAAGTTCTCAAGACAGTGCTTACTCGCTCGCGTCGAAGCTTGTGAACGGTTACACCTGAAACCACTTTATGTCTCTTTTTTTCGGATACAGCTTTTTCCGGAATACCAGCAAGCGCTACAGCTGTTGCGCCGTCTTGTTACAGAAGGACTGGGCATCCGCAGACACAAGTGCAGTCCTTCAACCACTGCTGGTGTCAAGTGCAGGAAAATAACAAGGGGCTCACAGATTTTTTACAGAGCAGCCGAGACAGCATAATGCTGGATTGTAACTCTGTTGTTACAGTGTCTTTCACCAAGCACAGCTGTTCCGGGGACGGCCACGTGCTTTCTTTTTGCCTGTTTGCTACGGTCGACACGGTGGAGGCAGGTCGTGACATTGCACGGACGGCTGGACACCGAAGCGACGCAGGCTGACCATCAACCTTCTCAAGGGTGACCCATCTTCAGCCTCCTGAGTACGCTGAAGGCATCATACTCACCTAGGTCTGGTGCCATTGCAGCAAAGCACTTCTGCGCTTCACGAGGCATGCTTGCTTCTCTTTTTATGACTTTCTCTCGGGGCTCTGTCAGCATCTTCTTTGACTCTTGCTTTTGTTCGAGCGGTCATTTGGATCGTGAGAGAAAATAGTCTGCAGGGACTGCTGTCCCTGTCCAATATAGTGCCTTTAGCTTTCAGTGACGTCTTTCAGAAGCGACTACTAACAAAAGTCTCCGCACTTTCTCTACACTGGCATGGATCGAAAGCATCCTTACATATATGTCACTCCAGAGGCACTCCTGTAGCTTCTGGCGTACCAGAAAGACATCTAGTTGAACCATTGCTCCCTTTTGTGATTTTTTTTTTAAAAACTTGCCCTATCCTTGTCTTTTAGTGTTTTTCTTTTCTTCTTATGTCTGTGTCATTTACAGAGTCATATCAACCACACAAAACTTAATGTAACTTTGAAAGTTATGTAGACCTAAGTAATGGTTAGTTACACATCAACATATCTGCCGACATTTGTTCACTGCTTACTCCATTAGCATGCTGCCTGCGATGCGTCTCCGACTGGTGTGTTTACCGATTCTGAAAAAGTGGTCCCTCAATTTCCTCTTGGTGACGTCATACAAGCGTCATGCTGTTGCCGGCCGCAATCCTGGCAGTGTCACAGCAGCGCGGGTGAACGTGACGGACGCCTGTTTTGCTGCAGGTCGCTCTTCAGTGTTGCAGTCCACGGAAGTTTTGGCAGCTAGAAGTTGGGACGCCCTGACGACAGCGACACTCGTGTTCGGTTGTTCTACTCGCAGCCTTTTCGTTAGCATTTCTACGACCAACCGCCAGAATCACGACATGCAACAGCATGACACTTTGGCTTCTGTGACGTCATTTGTTGCCACTTTGGGACCACTTTTGATGTATGGGCAGCATAGGACGCTAAACACACCGGTTGGAAACACGCTACGGACACAATACTATATATAACCTTGACATGGAATCTGTCTTGCACTGTGAATGTCTTGTACATTTCTCTCGCTACCTTCTCTGGAATGCCGTTTTCTGATTCAAAGCGCATCCTTGATTTCTTATGCTGTAACCTCCGTCTGGTTTTTTCATCTGTCAACTGCCTTGCTTATGTTGAAATAGTGCGACCAAGACTAGAATATGCGTCCTCGGCGTGGGAGCCACATGTTAAATGTCTCTCATCCAATTTCAGGGGTGGATGCAGGAATTTCCTGAGGAGGGGGGGGGGGGGGGGGGGGTCAGGTGTTGGTCACCGTACCATATCTTTAGGAACCCCCTCCCCTTCTCCCTCGTTTCACGCCCTAAATTTTACGCATGCAGAAATCAAGAGGGGGGGGGGGGGGTCAGGATATCCGGACCCCCCCTCTAAATCCGCCCCTGCCCAATCCGGATTTGGTTCAGAATCGGGCTAGTACTCGCTTTATTCTACATTTTAGGTTTGGTAGCATCACTAAACTTAAATGCAACTTAAATGCAGTTTTTTTTTTTCAAACTCCCCTGTGTTCATATAGGCATATTAGTAAACTTTGTCTCCATCATAGGTTTTAATTCCTGCATGATTTATTCATCTTGCCACCGCATCGGATATTCCCTCGCATTGATCACTGTTCCTCTCAACAGGCCTGTCGACTTTAATGGCCTGTCTGAAGCCACTGTTTCCCTCCAAGACATTGACTCCTTTCGTGACATATTAAGCTCAATATTTTATTAAATCACTCCATTATGCAATACCCTAACCCCAGGGCTCTTAGGATACTTAAAATAAATAAACAAAATGAAAAAAGTCGGTAGTTGGAAAGAAACTGGACGATTCTTGTCGTGAGAAGCCAAGTCTTTTGATATGTGGCGCCAAGTCTTCATAAATGGTGTTTTGCAAACAGAAGCCAGGCTCAGATGGCAAATGTAGCACAGGTTTAGTTATTGTCCACGAAAGAGCACGAGCTTGTTGAAGTATTGCCGGACGGGCACTCCCCTTTCCTCGGCACTTTGCTGCCGGCACATGTGGTGAATCCTCAGCTGAAAGTAGTGTGCCAGCATCTTCTTGAGCATGACAGAGAAGTGAGATTGATTGTCAATTGTTTGTGCAACAAACAGGTGGTCGAACCTCTTGAAGGATGGTGACAAGGAGACAATACTCAATGTCTCGGTTTGCAGCCTGAGAAGCCAGTTCCGCCCTCCCTTGGCCACTGTGTCGAAGTTTCTGCGAAGCACCTTCTCGGCAGTGGTGCAGAGATACAGAATGTCTGGGGATGGACTGTGGAGACCGCCCTTGTCCTTGACACGCACCAGGTCACATTTGTCAGTGGTGAGAAGTGCAATCCTTGCACAGTCCGGGCATTTTGCGTCTTTTGCAAAGTGAACGGCCACATTGCCCGCAATGTATTGTACAATGCTCTCGGCAAACTCCGAGAGAGGCTTGTATCCTATAACCCAGGTGGCGTCGGCGTCGTCCTGGCTTGTGTCAGCTGTCGGGTCTTGCTGGCGCTTGTCCGACGAGCTCAAAAGGAGCGTCTCCGTGCCGTCGACCTGACAGTTGCCACGGCTCGAGGGCAGCACATTCGCGATGAGGCACTTCCTGTACGCCGAGCGAAATTCGAGGGCCGTAGGATTGTTGTTGTTGCCCGTTCTGTTCCTGATTATTGCAAAGAACAATTCGAGGTGGTCTTGACTTAGCTTGCGTGTCAGCAGGCACTTGAGCAAAGGACTGCTGCTCCAAACGAGGTCTTCAGCCAGACCCTTGATGGACTGGAGGGCCAACAGAAATCCAACAATGGCGGTCTTTCTTGGACCTTGGATCAGGGGTCTGCCCGTGGTATCCTTTAGGCCTCTGAGATAGCGCGAGGCTTTGTCAATCCTTGTCAAGATTGTCTCCTTGTTGTTGACGCAAATGGGGGCCTTGCTGCCAAGAGCGAGAGGGTGGCAGGAATTGGTGAGGTCAAACGTGTCGTCCACTACTGCTGCAAACTCGGCAGTGGCCTCCACACCCTCAAAGCCGGGGATCTGCTTTTCCTTGCAGAACAACAAGGCGCAGCTGACGGAGCGGCTTAACGTCTGTGCCGCCAACGACACCTTCATCTTCTGTTGGTGGAAATCGATGTGCCGTCTCCAAAGTTTGTTCCCGGCGTGTAGGCCTTCCTTTTGTTGTAGGCGATCCAAACACATTATGTAATGCCAGGCAACAGTCCTACCCGCACCATCCCTGATGAGCTCCTTTTCAGCCAGCAGGTTTCGCATGAGCTTCAACATGTGGCATGCGTCTAAGATTGCATACACCCTTCTTGACGGGTCGGAGGGGTGAGGGAACCAGCTCTTCATTCTTGGTTCCGCCAGGCTTACGCCAAGCGCTGAGAGCATGGATAGATTGCAGCTTGTGCCGTCGCACGTCACAGAGATGCAGTCGGCACCAGCCTCCTTCAATTTTATCAGGTATTGCTGGACCAAATTGGACCGAACAGTGCCGTCGAGTCCATCAATCAGGGCATATCCCAGAGGTAGCTTCCAGTTGCGGTTGACGGCAACTGCCAGGAAAACAAGCGCGTGCTTCGCATATGCAATGCAGTCGTCTTTGGGGATGCCATGGCCCAGGTCGCAGTAGCCTACAACTTCCTTGCCGTCCCAGTCCGCTTGTTTCTTTATACTAATCTCATCTACCATAAGGCTGATGAGGAGAGGTCCTTTCTGAGCTTCGTGGGAAACTTTTTCGAAGCACTCCTTTGTGAAGCCCGGCTTCGCACCAATCACGGCTGCCCATTTCCGAAGTGCGCTGGGGTGAGGCAGTTTCACATGTTTGTGCAGAAATTTGTAAGCTTTGGCCGAATAGAAATGCAGTGTCAAGGCAAACTTGCGCACATCTTCCGAGTAGCTGTTGTTTGCCTTTCCTGTTTTTTTCAGCACAATGTCTCGCAGTGTGCCACTGAAGATGTTGTCCAGGATGGCTACCGCTGGTTGAGGTAGCTGTGCCCTGAGTTTCTTCAGCAGCGCATTGAGTTTTTTTATCTTCATTCCCTTCCGGTTCGCCTTTCTTTTTGCTTGTCTTAGGATCTTCTTGGCTTTTCGCAGCTTGCGCTTGCTGGCAGCTAGAAGCATCCTGTCCCGTCGTGGAGACACAACTGTGTAGCTGTGGTCGCCAGAGCAGGTGGCCGGCCGTGAAGATGGAGCTTCGGGGCTGCTTGACGCTGCTTGAGAATCTGCTGTGGATGGGGCGTGTGGAGAGGGAAAGTCAGTCTGGCGGGACCGTTGAGATCGGACCACTTGGGAGGTGGAGGGAAAGTCAGTTCGGGGGTGTTGTTGAGGTCTGTCCGTTTGAGGGGTGAACAGTGTGGGCACTGCTCCTTGTTTGAGGTTAGTCTTGCCAACAAGCCTGTGGAAGCAGTCATTTTCGAAGTGCTCTGAACACAGCTTGGAGAACTTGGTGGGAGTCCAGTGTATGCATTCCATTTTCTGCAGCCATGCCTGGAGGAGTTCTGGATGTCTCAGTGGAAATCTGCGGGAGACAACGAGGTCGGACTGTCAAAACACCGAAACAATGCTGTCTTTCAATAAAGCAAATACATATTTGTGCATTTCTAATTATTGTTTGTGTGCATTTTATTATAGAAAAATATGCTTATTCTAAACTACCCCTTCTGCCTCATTTATATGCCACTAATATTTGAAGTTTCTGAAACATTTGTTGCAAGTATGACGAGCAGGTAATTTGAAATGTTTCAAGCCCAATTTGGAGTAGTTTAGATAATGTGCTTCAACCACAGAGCAACTTTCAAATATGTGCGGTTGTCCTACATAAATCTGACCAAAACTGCAAGTTTAGATCCAATGATTGCGCTTGCTTGCCTATCGCATATTTAACTGTATTATAATGATGCGACTTAATTATGCCGAAATGCGGGCTAAGGTTCGTAAAGATCGCAACGCAGTTGGAAAGAGTTGACCGCAGTAATTTGAGAGTTAGTGGAAAGCTTACCCGTGGAACGTTATTGCCGAGTCCTTCTTGTACCTGTTAGTACAGTTAGGAGCCGCGCACGAATGCGGCATAGCTTGTTCAAATCAAGTTGGAAATAAAATGGCAAAGGAATCGGACACGACGAGCTGACAGCCTCTGAACCACAGGAATATGCGCAGTCGTCTGCTATCTTTTGGCCGCAAATTCAAACGAAGCTTGATTGAAGTCAATGTTGTAGATTACTTTATTACATCAGTTATAAGCACTAAAAAACTGCGCCACTTTGTCAACATTGCAGTTATAACCAAAATCACACAAAAAATTGCGCGCCAAAATTGTCGTCTGCTACTTTTTGCGCGCCCTAGCTGCTGCTGTTCAATTCCATGAAATGCTCTAACCGGCATCTTCCAGCGATAATACGAAATCGGCATACACATATCAAGCAACAAATAGGAATTTCCGTTCTCAGTAGCATGCATTAATACAAACCCCCTTGACAACGGTGCACATTTCAACACTGCACTGTGGTGGAAGCATCTTGCAGGCACGCAAGTATGATTTCAAACATATCACTTCGATAGTCTATTGTCTAATGCATGCTACTGAGAACGGAAATTCCTATTTGTTGCTTGATATGTGTATGCCGATTTCGTATTATCGCTGGAAGATGCCGGTTTGGGCATTTCATGGAATTGAACAGCAGCAGCTAGGGCGCGCAAAAAGTAGCAGACGACAATTTTGGCGCGCAATTTTTTGTGTGATTTTGGTTATAACTGCAATGTTGACAAAGTGGCACAGTTTTTTAGTGCTTATAACTGATGTAATAAAGTAATCTACAACATTGACTTCAATCAAGCTTCGTTTGAATTTGCGGCCAAAAGATAGCAGACGACTGCGCATATTCCTGTGGTTCAGAGGCTGTCAGCTCGTCGTGTCCGATTCGTTTGCCATTTTATTTCTAACTTGATTTGAACTCTAAAAGCTATGCCGCATTCGTGCGCGGCTCCTAACTGTACTAACAGGTACAAGAAGGACTCGGCAATAACGTTCCACGGGTAAGCTTTCCACTAACTCTCAAATTACTGCGGTCAACTCTTTCCAACTGCGTTGCGATCTTTACGAACCTTAGCCCGCATTTCGGCATAATTAAGTCGCATCATTATAATACAGTTAAATATGCGATAGGCAAGCAAGCGCAATCATTGGATCTAAACTTGCAGTTTTGGGCACATTTATGTAGGACAACCGCACATATTTGAAAGTTGCTCTGTGGTTGAAGCACATTATCTAAACTACTCCAAATTGGGTTTGAAACATTTCAAATTACCTGCTCGTCATACTTGCAACAAATGTTTCAGAAACTTCAAATATTAGTGGCATATAAATGAGGCAGAAGGGGTAGTTTAGAATAAGCATATTTTTCTATAATAAAATGCACACAAACAATAATTAGAAATGCACAAATATGTATTTGCTTTATTGAAAGACAGCATTGTTTCGGTGTTTTGACAGTCCGACCTCGTTGTCTCCCGCAGATTTCCACTGAGACATCCAGAACTCCTCCAGGCATGGCTGCAGAAAATGGAATGCATACACTGGACTCCCACCAAGTTCTCCAAGCTGTGTTCAGAGCACTTCGAAAATGACTGCTTCCACAGGCTTGTTGGCAAGACTAACCTCAAACAAGGAGCAGTGCCCACACTGTTCACCCCTCAAACGGACAGACCTCAACAACACCCCCGAACTGACTTTCCCTCCACCTCCCAAGTGGTCCGATCTCAACGGTCCCGCCAGACTGACTTTCCCTCTCCACACGCCCCATCCACAGCAGATTCTCAAGCAGCGTCAAGCAGCCCCGAAGCTCCATCCTCACGGCCAGCCACCTGCTCTGGCGACCACAGCTACACAGTTGTGTCTCCACGACGGGACAGGATGCTTCTAGCTGCCAGCAAGCGCAAGCTGCGAAAAGCCAAGAAGATCCTAAGACAAGCAAAAAGAAAGGCGAACCGGAAGGGAATGAAGATAAAAAAACTCAATGCGCTGCTGAAGAAACTCAGGGCACAGCTACCTCAACCAGCGGTAGCCATCCTGGACAACATCTTCAGTGGCACACTGCGAGACATTGTGCTGAAAAAAACAGGAAAGGCAAACAACAGCTACTCGGAAGATGTGCGCAAGTTTGCCTTGACACTGCATTTCTATTCGGCCAAAGCTTACAAATTTCTGCGCAAACATGTGAAACTGCCTCACCCCAGCGCACTTCGGAAATGGGCAGCCGTGATTGGTGCGAAGCCGGGCTTCACAAAGGAGTGCTTCGAAAAAGTTTCCCACGAAGCTCAGAAAGGACCTCTCCTCATCAGCCTTATGGTAGATGAGATTAGTATAAAGAAACAAGCGGACTGGGACGGCAAGGAAGTTGTAGGCTACTGCGACCTGGGCCATGGCATCCTCAAAGACGACTGCATTGCATATGCGAAGCACGCGCTTGTTTTCCTGGCAGTTGCCGTCAACCGCAACTGGAAGCTACCTCTGGGATATGCCCTGATTGATGGACTCGACGGCACTGTTCGGTCCAATTTGGTCCAGCAATACCTGATAAAATTGAAGGAGGCTGGTGCCGACTGCATCTCTGTGACGTGCGACGGCACAAGCTGCAATCTATCCATGCTCTCAGCGCTTGGCGTAAGCCTGGCGGAACCAAGAATGAAGAGCTGGTTCCCTCACCCCTCCGACCCGTCAAGAAGGGTGTATGCAATCTTAGACGCATGCCACATGTTGAAGCTCATGCGAAACCTGCTGGCTGAAAAGGAGCTCATCAGGGATGGTGCGGGTAGGACTGTTGCCTGGCATTACATAATGTGTTTGGATCGCCTACAACAAAAGGAAGGCCTACACGCCGGGAACAAACTTCGGAGACGGCACATCGATTTCCACCAACAGAAGATGAAGGTGTCGTTGGCGGCACAGACGTTAAGCCGCTCCGTCAGCTGCGCCTTGTTGTTCTGCAAGGAAAAGCAGATCCCCGGCTTTGAGGGTGTGGAGGCCACTGCCGAGTTTGCAGCAGTAGTGGACGACACGTTTGACCTCACCAATTCCTGCCACCCTCTCGCTCTTGGCAGCAAGGCCCCCATTTGCGTCAACAACAAGGAGACAATCTTGACAAGGATTGACAAAGCCTCGCGCTATCTCAGAGGCCTAAAGGATACCACGGGCAGACCCCTGATTCAAGGTCCAAGAAAGACCGCCATTGTTGGATTTCTGTTGGCCCTCCAGTCCATCAAGGATCTGGCTGAAGACCTCGTTTGGAGCAGCAGTCCTTTGCTCAAGTGCCTGCTGACACGCAAGCTAAGTCAAGACCACCTCGAATTGTTCTTTGCAACAATCAGGAACAGAACGGGCAACAACAACAATCCTACGGCCCTCGAATTTCGCTCGGCGTACAGGAAGTGCCTCATCGCGAATGTGCTGCCCTCGAGCCGTGGCAACTGTCAGGTCGACGGCACGGAGACGCTCCTTTTGAGCTCGTCGGACAAGCGCCAGCAAGACCCGACAGCTGACACAAGCCAGGACGACGCCGACGCCACCTGGGTTATAGGATACAAGCCTCTCTCGGAGTTTGCCGAGAGCATTGTACAATACATTGCGGGCAATGTGGCCGTTCACTTTGCAAAAGACGCAAAATGCCCGGACTGTGCAAGGATTGCACTTCTCACCACTGACAAATGTGACCTGGTGCGTGTCAAGGACAAGGGCGGTCTCCACAGTCCATCCCCAGACATTCTGCATCTCTGCACCACTGCCGAGAAGGTGCTTCGCAGAAACTTCGACACAGTGGCCAAGGGAGGGCGGAACTGGCTTCTCAGGCTGCAAACCGAGACATTGAGTATTGTCTCCTTGTCACCATCCTTCAAGAGGTTCGACCACCTGTTTGTTGCACAAACAATTGACAATCAATCTCACTTCTCTGTCATGCTCAAGAAGATGCTGGCACACTACTTTCAGCTGAGGATTCACCACATGTGCCGGCAGCAAAGTGCCGAGGAAAGGGGAGTGCCCGTCCGGCAATACTTCAACAAGCTCGTGCTCTTTCGTGGACAATAACTAAACCTGTGCTACATTTGCCATCTGAGCCTGGCTTCTGTTTGCAAAACACCATTTATGAAGACTTGGCGCCACATATCAAAAGACTTGGCTTCTCACGACAAGAATCGTCCAGTTTCTTTCCAACTACCGACTTTTTTCATTTTGTTTATTTATTTTAAGTATCCTAAGAGCCCTGGGGTTAGGGTATTGCATAATGGAGTGATTTAATAAAATATTGAGCTTAATATGTCACGAAAGGAGTCAATGTCTTGGAGGGAAACAGTGGCTTCAGACAGGCCATTAAAGTCGACAGGCCTGTTGAGAGGAACAGTGATCAATGCGAGGGAATATCCGATGCGGTGGCAAGATGAATAAATCATGCAGGAATTAAAACCTATGATGGAGACAAAGTTTACTAATATGCCTATATGAACACAGGGAAGTTTGAAAAAAAAAAACTGCATTTAAGTTGCATTTAAGTTTAGTGATGCTACCAAACCTAAAATGTAGAATAAAGCGAGTACTAGCCCGATTCTGAACCAAA